CTAGAAGCCCTTACAATGCTTCATTGTTTCCAGGGTTTGTAAGTACTGAATAATGCTGATTAAAGGTTTATTAACAGTGCTGGTTAAAGGCTTCACTAGCAGCATTGAATTAAAGTTTATTAGAGACTCTGTGCTGGAACTTTCAAATGTTCTTTTTTTATAATTTTATAAGTGTCTTCCTAAAGGAAATAAGAAATAAGACTAGGGTTCTGATGCATGTTCATTATCGGTGTCATACATTAATTTTGTTGCTAAGGAATCCAATTTTGATTGACAAAGGGGCGCGCCTTTGGAGGGTGTTTCAACACTCCGAAGGGTATGAATAACGGGACCTTTCAATTAGAGTCGGATCCTTGCGATAAATGCAAGAGTGGCAACTAGAAAAAAAATCGAATACTTCATCATTTCTCAATAGTGATGGAGTAATACGACATGCACTGAACTAAGAACACGGGATATACTACAATAGATCAATTTACTGGTCGCAGTAGTGTTAGGTCCCGAACAGAGGAAAAAAAAGGAAATATGCAAGAATATCAGAAGGACTACAAACCTAATTCAGGCAGCAATTGGGTTACGATCCATAAGAATTGTTGTCAAAGTAATTGACACGAAATTCAACCTCTCATGGTTCAACTTCATGCAATAGTGATCCAGTTATGATCCAGTTAACTCAAATTTGAAATTAATTTTTATGGTTTTAGTTGCGTAAATGTATGGTAAAATATTTTTTCTAACCTTGTATCGAAATAAATTTGATAAATAATTAAAAACAATGAAATCTAGATAGGACCAATTAGAGGACCACTAACGACAAAAACTGGTACTCTTACCCTACAAGAAAGGCACTTATCACCGACTCATGAACCAGATCCACATCCAGCAGATTTCATCCTGTTCATGAAGCAGATACACTTAACTTGTGAACGAGATCAAGATATTAATCGATTTCGTACATACTCTACCCACGTTCACTTATAATATGTTCAGACTAGGGTGCCAATGAAACGTATCGGAAAAAGTGGTTATCGACTTTTTCAAACATAAAAAAAAAGTTCATTGCCTCGAAAATAGACCCTACGCAAAATTTTGATTCGGACATGATTTGGAGTGGCGCAAAATCGTAAAAGTTTAATTTTTTTTATCTGAAAAGTCTCCTGATTTAAATGACTTAAAAATGCATGAATCATCGTGATTTAGTATTAACTCAAATCCTTTTTTTCATAAATTGAACTTGATGAAATTTCGTAAATTGAAAAAAAAAAAAATGTATGCCAAATGACTTAAAAATGCATAAAATATCAAGATCTAGTGTTAACTAGATTTTTTTGTCATAAATTTGGATGGAATTTTACGAAAAAATGTAAGCCCTAGAAAGTAAATTTTTGACCAGAGTTTTTTTTCTACCGATCTCTCGCGCAACACGAGAAAAGGGCCTATTATTGTTGATCGATTCTCTTCATCGATTTCCTCTTTCGCGAATAACGTGAAGAAAATCGATCAACGAGGATAGACCCTTTTGAAATGTTACGTGAGATCTGTTAGATCTAGACGTTTCATGCATTTAAAAGTCATTTGGCATCAAAGAAAAAAAAATAGAATTCCAAAAGACCCTCAAAGCCTATTTTTGAAAAAAAAATCGAGGTAACACTACACTCATAAAATAAATCACATAACCAGTGGAAAATATCCATGTGAATTTCACTCAACTTTCATGTGATCCCATAATTGGAAATTGCACCACTAAATCACATGAACGTTATGTGTCCAATGAAATCTATATGATTTCTCATATAGAATTTAAAATGCTATGTGATATTCAGGTAAAAATCATTGTTTTTGTTTTTGGAAAAATACTATGTGCGTTCCTAATAGAAAATAAGTGAAAACTTTTTCCAGTGTAGATCTCGACGTTTCACGTATTGCTAAGCCATTTGGCTTGAAAAAAAGTTCGAATACTGAAGTTTCAGATAGTCGATTTTTGGCAAAACAAAACAAAACAACAACAAAAGGGATTTCCAAAATTTCACGTATACCTTGGGAGATTTTTTAGACGAAAAATAAATCAAACTTTGACAAATTTGTGCCACCTCAAAGCATTAAGCATAGGGTCTTTTTTCGAGGAAAAAAATATTTTGTGCATGGTTGGTTTCAAACAAATTTTCATTGGAACCCTAATAACGGGTGTCCAATAAACAATGAGAAAGGAAAGAATCGGTTGGGAAAAAACACCAGTGAAGTTCAGTTCAAACTGATTTATTGCATTCAAAGGTTTAACTTCCCAAGTAACCAACAAGCCCGCTTATTTGCCTTTTTGCAATATAAGGTTAATATGCGGCTAATATAAAGCTTAGCATGCCCTATGAGAGCCATGTATCAACCTTACATTGCAAAAAGGCGAATTAGCGGGCTTGTTGGTTGCTTGGGTTAAGTCTTCAAAGCTAAGCTCAGAGTGAATATTGGCATACGGTTCGTGGTCCACCGTGCGGCGCAGCTTAGTCATGATATTGGAACATGACCATTGGACGGCTGCCACATCGATTTTCCGGATGCAGCTTTTGATCATATTGGCAAGCTACTGGGTGTCCTCAGCCTTCCAATTATCCTTGTATACCATGGAGTCTTTTGGCACATATGGTATATTTCGACTTTCTTCCGGGTCAACCGTCGGCATTGGGATATCACGGTTTGGATTTGCTGGTCAGTATACTCAGGGGATCTGTTTGAATTTCTACGCACTATTTACTCCTTCCTTAGAGTCTTGCAGATGTGCGACTTCGAACAACGGAACTTTCTGTGGTCGCTTCCCGTTGAAATACCGAATCCTTGTTGTTGAACATGTGGTGCAGCGAGCGGAGCGTCTTCTTATTCATTATCTTCGTTGGACGGCCGCTATCTCTATTCCGGGTTACTACCGGATTCCATGATGCGGTATACGGTGGATACCGGAACATTTTCCCTCTTAAAATGGTCCATCGTGTACTTTTTTCCATGATCTTCGTTCGCTAGATAGAAGTGTACAATGCGCGCGCGCAGTTCTTCATATTTCGACGGCATGCTGAACACGATTGAACATGTTCGAGTGAAATAAAGTGTATGACAATTTTTTGGAAGATGTAAGGATTCATTCACCTATGGTAACATTTCTCTGCGAACATTTTTGTTCTGTTAGAGAAGTATTGGAATCGTTATCATTTTTTAGTGGACACCCGCTATAGGATATCTTAATATCAAAAATCATACATAGTGAAAGTTTAACGTATGAGCGCCCATTGCAAGAAAACATTCCGCTTCTACCTGGACTCTTAATGTAGCTTTCACCTGCTCTCAAGTTAGTGTTCTTGAAGCACTTCCACAGTTATTAATGCCAACCAAAGCATGAATTGTATTCCCTGCAAATATTTGAAACAGCATATTCAGGCAAAAATAAGATTTTTCAGCTAAAAAATGGCTTATTCAGCCATTAATAAGCGAAAATTGTTTGATGGGTTGTGTGGCAAGTACAATGATATCACAGACAAACAGACAGAACTCTCGCATGTTATCCATCGATCACTCATTTAAATGGCGCGCATAGTTAATACCCTTGCGTTTGATGTTCACAAATCACCGCTATCTATTGAGCGTACAACCCATCACAGTGTACTCAATATATGGCGGTAGTGTTATAGCAACGATGTTTTACAGTGAAAAATATTCAATGTGTTATGTCTGTTCGTCTGTGATGATACTCTATGTTCAGGGAAGTGAAGAAAATTTCCAACCCGAAAAATCCCTTGAACCGGACCGAAAACCAAACCCGCCGCCTCCAGCTTGACAATACCTCGCCTTTACTGGCCAGGCTGTCTGAGGCCCCATAAAGTCAGCTTATCCCGTGGAGAAAATAACTAATGAATACCTAATTTTGATCTAATGTCAAAATTTGGTATTGATCAGCATGACATAAGAGGTAAAATACCAAAGAATAATTCCAAAAAATTGCATGCAAAATACTTTGTAAATAACAAAAATCGTTATTTGGATACCAAAAGAATACCTGCGGGGTATTGTTTTGGTATTGCAATTGCATAATTTGATATTGGAATGGTATTGTGGGAATTTTTTTTTTTTTGGTATTTTACCTCTTATGTAATGCTCATTCATACCAATTTTAGGTATCGAGATATACGTTCCTGCTCGGGATATAACGTAAAATAAGCTATAGTCTGAACGTAGTACCACCGGTTGGAAACAAGCGATTTAAAATTGGCTCACTACTTGACTAGCCTATTGGTCCCAAGCTCGGTTAACGTACTCCATTCTAGTCAAAATTCTACTACTGCACTATGTTTGTTTTGATTCGCTATGAAAGTTTTACAGATAAAATGAGAGGTTCGTGGATTTTCCTATGTTTCAAGGGGTGCATCCATTTGCTTCCCTAGCAGCACACATGTCACTGAACAATTGTGGTTACTTGTGTGCCACTTATTAAAGTCACAATAAAGTTGTAGCAGCTTATTTCGATCGAAGTGTGCTGCTTGGGTTGGGACCGAAGAGAGTACCAGAGCTGAGCCAAAAAGTTGAGCACGTATCTTCGGGACCTTCTGGTCTTAGAGTTACCTCTATGGTAGTACTATGGGGTTAAGTTGATGCTTACTTGGGACTGTTAGGCCAACACTACAGTACCATGTTCGATCGCCACCAAATGCCAAACAAATGTTTGTGCTCACGGTCCTTAGACTCACCTGATGTATGTGAGATTCCATTCTGAATGCCAATGGCATTTCTTCACCATACATTGGAATTATGGCTCCGGGAAGCTAACGCAATTGAACCTTGACAAATGAACAACATTAAAAAATCAAACCTGCACTTGTCGTTAACGATGTAAAACTGACCTATTTTGAATTCCTGTTTTTAATATCTAGAACCAAGCAAACCGAAGCCGAGAATAGGAAATTCTTTGAAAATTGAAAAAAAAAAAGACGCTCGTTTAAAAATATTAAAACAAAAACGAAATAAATTGGAAGATGAATATCGTACAAGTAACCTTGTAAAATACTAATGAACTATTATTAAAAAAAAAATGAATCTACAAAGGAGCGTAGATGTGACTCCTCAGAGGCAAATCTCAACTAACCCCGCCCACGGAGATCATAAAATGTTGCAAATGATACGCTTCCGTTTGCCATCCTAAGCATCCGAACAGCATGCTATTCGAAGCCGTTCAAAATGGTGACCTAGAGAAGGTAGCCACCCTGCTGGGCAACGGCGCCGATGTCAACGAGCGGGACGATAAGTTCTTCAACACCGCCCTGCACCGGTCAATCTTTGCCAAAGAAAACCGCTACGAGCTGATTGATTTGCTGATTTCGCGAGGAGCCGACTGCAATGCACTCAACAAGAAGTACCTCACGGCTTCGGAGTTGGCCCTGGGGAAGAAGCTCGATGATCTGGCGAAGCACATGGTCCTGCGAGAAACCGAACACATCGACGACCATCTGGCCTATTATCTGCTGATCCGGCGTGGTAACCTGCAGCTGTTCGAATTCCTGATCTCGATCAAGCGGCTCAAGTACGAGGATGAGATTTTGATCATTGCCAAGGCGTACGCCGAGCTGAAGCTGAAGAATGTCCCCTTGAAGGAGCACATGGAAGCGTATCTGAACGAAATACTGATCAATCACGATTACTGGCTGATCAATAGCAGCAGCAGCAACGGGAAGCAGCGTAAGGATCGCGTTCAGAATGTGCACCGGATTCGCGAGATCGTGGACAACGTCCGGGAATTGTTCATCTCGTACGACAATCACAACCTGATGGATGTGGATAGTGTGTTCTTGCTGCGGTTGTCGTACATCCTGGAAAACATCTTCTTCATTCGGAACCAGTATAAGGAGCTTCCGTTGCATCATGTGGAGTTCTGTATCGGTGAGTACTGTTAATTGTCTAACCCTTATCACTAAAATTTACTGCCTGTAACATCTATCAAATTGATAGATACCATCCCGGTATATTTTCCAAAACTGTCAAGTCCACCCGAACCGACAGCGACGACAGCGAGATAGTCGAAGAATTTTTAATTTGTTGCGTTAAACAACCTCCGCTTTTAAAAACTACAACTCAGCTGAACGGAGGCAGCGCGCGCGATTCCCGGGTCTTTGCCGTGTAGGTACAAACGAACCGCAAACGGTAACACCGCACCAACAAAAACAAGGACGATAAGCGCGGCGCAAGGACTGCTCTCACTCTCCTCGGTGTCGCTTGCCTCCTTCAGCTGATGCTCGGAACGCGTAATGTACGCACTACCCGTTCGCTCGTTGGGGGTGCGAACCGCGTGAATCTTGTGGATAACTTCCGACGACGATGTGGGTGGGTGCGTGGTTGGCTGTGATTCGCGCGGTGGGAGGAAATTGCAAAAAAGTCACATATTACCCACCTCCTATACCTACCATCACCATCACCTATCGCCAAGGATGTGAACAAGTGGTGGCTACCACCGGTGGCTTTCGGTGCTCCCTCCCATCCTTATACCGTTTCGATCACAACTGGCGATCTAATTTCTGTCAGTGTTGCCAGCTACTCGTAGCTATACTCGCAGCTGCAATGGTTGAAAATCATACCAACACTGCATGATTCGCGCCCCCATATAGGGACGAGATTTGCATATCCCATCGCTGCTTCGGGAAGGAAAGCGACGTGCAACGAAACGCACCGAGTGCAGCAGAGCATTTCCAGGTCGAATAGCAAAACAAAAAATAATTTCAGACTCGACCTTCGCCGATTTGTATGATTGCACATTTGAGCTGAATTTTGGCCATATCAATAAAAAAAATCAAAATTATTTATTCGATATTTTTAACAAATCATAAGTTGAAAACATCACTTCCAATCGGAATGACATCTGAGAGAAAGTTGTAGGAAAGAATAATTCCATCATAGCAAAAAATATACATGGCAATAAAATGCAAGGTAAAACATCCATGACAGTGATTAAAAATTAAACAACGCAAAAGTATTTTTTTATTGATAAGCTTATAAAAAATTGCTAACTTCTGTGAAATCTTCAAATTGGACATTTCATTTATTTTTATAGATCATAGAACAAGAACTTTTGGTAAATTTTTTGAACTTTTGGGGTATTAATTTATTTTTTGTGAAATTTTGCACTCAAAAAGGATTTTGAATGTCTAAAATATAATTTTCTGTGCAAAATTTCACTAAAAATTGTACAAAGAAAACGTATAAAAGTTTGACCACAAGTTAACCGTGGAGAGTGGAAGAACTATGACAGTGATGATGACGGTGCAATCCTAATCTAATCTAATCTAATCTAATCTATTCTAATACAAACGCAGCCAGTACGAGAAAGCATCCTGGAAAATGATTAGGTTATGTCGTTTTCGTTTTTGTGGTGTAGCTACACCGGTGCTACACCGTCAAACACCGAAAAATTCAGTGTGTAGTTATCGGTTGCACCTTTGATTACAAACAAATGATGATGAGCTGTCAATGACTTGCGCTTATTGCTGCTTACCAGAGCGTAAAAATATTGACTGCTTAGGCTGAGTGTGAAAGCACTGCAATCAACAATCAATACGAAACTAACGATTTTAAATTGGCTCACTACTTGACTAGCCTATTGGACCCAAGCAAATCGACTAACGTACCCCATTCTAGTATAAATTCCAGTACTACACTATGTTTGTTTTGATTCGCTATGAAATTTGGGCAGATAAAATGAGGGGTTAGTGGATTTTCCTAGGTTTCGAGTGGTGAATCGATTAGCTTGGGACCGAAGATAGTACCAGAGCTGAGCCAAAAAGTTGAGCACGTTTCTTCGGGACGTTCTGGTCGTAGAGTTACCTCTATGCTGCACTATTCAATCCATTACTCTGTCGAGACCGTTTGTACCAAACGGTAAAGGACGAGGCAATGAAAGAGCCAACAAAAACATTCAGTCACTCACGCACAGGTGACTCACACTGCTTGCCTTCGCTCACACAGCATGTAATTGAGGCATTTTTCCCTAGAAAATGTACGCTCAGTCCGAGATGGGAAATGACAGGTGGGCAGGAACTCACGGTCTCCCAGTGTTGGTGAGTTCTTTGCCGTTAATGTTCACGAAAAGTTCACTATTTTGCCATACATAAATTCAAAACAAAAAATTTTATCTGCGGATTTGGACAGTTTTTGACCTATTTCATACGACTGGAAGGTGTATGCTGGTCACAAATGCCGTGCCAAACTGATTTCCTACGCAATTAATCAATCTTTGATGTGAATTTCGCTAATAAACACGAGGAGCATTTCTTATAGCAAACTTGCCATAACAAAATGGGCATGGTTCATTTTAGTAAACAAACTATCACTTCTTCCGACTGTGTCACCTATCTTACTCGCCTAGCGCTCAGTCATTCAAAACAAGGATTGGGTACCATCACGGAAGAATAAACGTGCTGACTGAGCTACTAACTGAGTGCTCGGCTGTCAGTGACTCGTTTACCTCTCAATCATTCAGACTCTCACAAGGCAGTGAATGATGAGGCAGATGGCAGTTCATATTCATATGAAAATGATTAATTAACCTGACTGTTTTGCGCACTGCTGCTTACACTACACCGGTGTAGTGTAGCAAAAACGAAAACGACATTAGATAACGCCTAATCATTTTTTCTTGTCAACATTGATGTTTGCAGCATATCTGAGATATGACACAAACATCAAAACGGCTAGCCCTACTGCGTTGCATTTGAATCAAAGATGATTCTGTGAAATGATTCGAGTTTAAATAAATATATATAAACAGCGATGCATTTCGTGAATCTACAGGGCTGGAAGGATGCGTGGACATACCGTACCAAACGCTCCTAGTTATGTAAGAGTGAATTTAACAATCATATGTGATGTAATGAATGGTTTATATAATATAGTACACACTTAGAAATAACTACTTTTACACGAGACGTAATCCATATTGGACGTAAATCATAGAACGTAAACAAACATTTCATGTAAAATTAAGTGTTCTCAAACCGAAACATCAGCTAGTCGACGAAGAGAACGTTTGATTGAATTTATTTTCACGTTTCTTTCAACTGATTCTTTTGTCAATGTGTCGGTCTCAGGGAACCGAAATTTACATGACTTTTTATTAGTGTGTATAATTGAAGAATCTCACCAATTGCCTCCAATGTTTTCTAAATTCCTAATGTATAGATAAAAATGGAATGATCTTACCAAAACTGATCTGCTTGACTGTGATCATCAGCTTTTCCGGACTTCTTTATTCCACGATTTTCTTTCTTACACTTAGAAATAACAAATTTTACGCGTGGCGGAACCCATCTTTGACATAAAGGATGGGACGTAAACAAACATGTCATGTACAATTAAGTGCTCCGAGACTGAAAAGTTTGTAGCTCGACGAAAAGTACATTTGATTGAGCTGAATTGCACGTCTGTTATGATTCAATTTTATGTCAAAATTGACGCTCGTAAATGTCAGTCTCAGGACACCTAAATGTACATGGCTTTTTCCAAGTCTGTACACGAAACGGAAAATATACCCAAAATTAAGTATTTTTTTTTTTTGTTTAAAGAGACTTTACCCTTCAAGGGCATTCGTCTCTTGTTCTTTTCACTCATTTCCCATGTTATGTTCAATAAGCTAATTTTCAGTAAACCGCTTATAGTAGTATAAATTTGACTACGGTCAAAATAATTACTTACTCTTGAGTATTTTCTACTCAAAATTAAGTTCAATTGACTCAAATTAGAGAATATCGTTCCGTTTTTGACAACAACAAAAAGTGAGAGTGGGATGCAAAACTCAAAATTACCCATAATAAAGTAAAAAGAACTTAAATTTAGGGTATTTTTTTCTCTGTGTAGCTTTAGCCTTTAGCTTTTATCTGTTGTCCTCCGTCAAACGCTTCGTCTGCATTAAAGAGGCTGAATTGGGTAAAGAGGCGACACCTTATCCATTTGACAGGTCTTCTGCTCGATTGGAATAACTTTTCCTATGACTTTGACAGATAATCGATTGTTCCAATTTTGACATGTCGTCTCTTTATAAATTCAGGCTCTTTAGTCTGCATCACACAGCTCGCAACGAACGCCATACACGGATCTTCGTTCTCTTCTGTTTTCTTCTTACCGCGTTTGCCAATCAGCACTAAAGCTGGGCTTAGACAGGGCAAGTCAATTGATCAAGTCAGTTGAATTCAACTGACTTGAACGTGAATTGAACGTGTAAACCATGCCATTCAACTGACTTGATCAACTCACTTGAATTGGAAAAAGTTGAACCAGGCTCAACTTTTCAAGCCAATTGAATTCAACTGAGTTGATCATTTGACTTGCCTAATCTAAGCCCAGCTTAACTGTAGTTCAACCAACTCTTCTCATTTGAACCAAAAAATCACTTCGCGGCTTGCAAAACGACTCGAACGATCAATAAAATTGTCATCGTAACGATGTTTTTCACAGATCACACTTTTCACACCGGCCTGAAGGAAAATGTTCGTAAGTGCAATCATAAAGTGCATTTATTTTGCAAACTAATTATTTTAATAAAATCTGGTTATTGCTACAACAGTAGAAAACTCAAAAAATAAATTTAAATTCGTTTCAGATTTTTTGTTGCGTAGAATGATTTCAACTATTCTAATATCGTAGCAGCAACCAGATTTATAAAAAAAATGCTCCATTCAAGTATTTTAAGGTATCCTCGTATCCCTCCAATTAAAAAAAAAACATCTGGGGCTAACTTTGATTTGCCAATTGTTCTAAGATATGTGTTAATTGTTAAGTGTCCAACATGAAAATTACACAGATGTTATCATTTTCCATAAGCTTGTATTGAAAGTGTTCAAAATATATTGAATTTGTTTTTTTTTTTATTTAAGTTTAAATCACTTTTTCTTTTT